GACATGTTGATTGTGTCAAACACAGTGATGTTTATTGAGAAGTTTTGTGATTGGTTGGTTTCGCGGGCAAAAAGGAGGTGGAAATGGCATTGTTTAATTCTTATAAGAATAGCCTATCGGGTAAAAAAAAAAATACACAACCCAAGACCTTAAATAAGACGTTGTTTAGATAGGCGATGTAGCATAATGTCTATGTGTTCCGGAGGCAGTAACTGAAGACTCCCTCCTGATATGAAATAGAACTCATTTCGACTAATATAAACCAATAACTAGCCTATAAATGTTTCTGATCTTGTCACTATAAACTTCTGGGTGGGTGGTATAAAAATAAACGAAAGTCGCTGATCCACTCACAGAATTCTATCACCGAGTCATACTAGATCACGAATGCTAGCCAATTTATACGCTACTTTGGGGATATGAAGACTCGTGAAAAAAGACATTTCTTTATACTGTAGATCGCTCCTAACGGCTATCAAGAAGGGATTGTCTAAATTCCTCCGCAGTAAGTTGGGTACGTGTTTCCCTTGATGCCATTCGAATGTCACTCTTGATGTCAAAGGAAATACTTGGAACCCATGTGAAACCATATTCAATCTCGTCATCGGTCATGCTTTTACTCGTAATCAAGGCTGTAGAAGCAGTGGAATCATTCTTACCAGCCACAAAGAGTTGGCCCGGACTGCCGTTTCCAGTAGGGTTAAGGTCGGTCATCCAGAAGTACCTATGATAAACATAGCGGATATTTGATAGCAAGGTCGATGCAGCATCCAAACCTGTCATAATTTCTTCATCCAGGTCTGCCACTCTACGTAATCCTAGCTTTTCGAAAGCGACCCCAGCTCTGGAATCATCGCAAGGCATTCTGCGAGAGTATAATTTTAAGAGCACTTCGTACTCCGGGTATTCATGCTGAAACCATTGGGGACCGGCACCGGCAACTATATCTTCTTCAGTTAATCTCTTATGCAAACGCAAGGGCAAAAACCTCTCTTTCCCGTGAGTATATACTTTGTTGAATTTCAATTGCCAATACTTTTCTATAAAATGATCCATCTTTTCATGCCCTTCATTGTCATTCCAAATTAGATTGCGAAAACTAAAACCAATATCCCTCGCAAACCCTGACTGGGTTGCCATTAGCCCATAATAGCTTGCATTTACCAATACTGTTTTGAAAGTAGTCAATGGCCATCTAACCCTAATTCGGCCATACTTAGTTTCAATGTCACCTAATTTTAGTAAGACCTCATCAATGACTTCAGGTAAATAAGTAGGCAATCCGCCAACGTTAGAAAATGCATCAGTCTCAGTTGGAACTGTCCAATAACTTGACCACAATTGTTGTGCAGCTTTAACACATGACAGATAAACGAGCAATACGGCCAAAATCTTCACGTCTTTGTCCCCATAGCGCATGTCTTGATTGTATATATGCTCCGCATATTTCTGAATAACCCTGACTGGAAAATGATCATCAAAATGAAAGGTACCTATGGTCGTTGCTTCAATGGTATAAACTGATTTTTGAGAACTCATTGATTGGGTACTATTACTTACTTCGATTGAATTCTCAAAATCGTCCAGTAACGTACACTCTGTTTTTCTTCTGACTCCACTAGAGTAAAAACTTGATGCCTCCGCAGTTCGTTTTGTCAAGCACAGGGATCTGACTTTAAAGAGAAGTTTTGGAGAATTCATCGGTTTTGCGCGCAACCAAGAGAAAAGGAGGGGACCAAAAACAGTTGAAATTCGAGACCAGAAACACTACAAATAAGTTCAGATGTGTAACTAATATAATTCACTAGTATAATCAATATTATAAAACCTTGTTCACTTGATGTATTAATTACGTTCGTTAACTATATAAGACTATACATTGGTTAATTTTATGGACGTTGTCCACTTTTGTTTTGTTGTTCAATTTAGTATTCAGGTGGGTGTTACCCGACTTTGTTATCACGTGCTATTTCTTTGTTCATAAAGAATTGGCTTAACTTATTTATTTCAACAAAAACCTCTCATTGTTTAGTTTTATGATGGTAAGCAAAAGAGAATTACGAAGAGATTAAGGAATTAAGGCACATATTATATAAGGTGGCATGAAAAACTTAATTTTAACACCTTAGAAAATATTAAACTGTTCGTGGAGCACAAGGAGTTGAGTAAATCAGCCTGGATAGATATCCGGAAGATTCTGCAAAGATTTTGTAAAATCTCGGGCTTCCGCTTATGTTCGAAGTTCTGGATAACTGAATATTGACATATGCCAAAGTATCTATGTACTTTGAAGTCCGGAGTTTCAAGAACCCTTCGTCAATGTATTAGATCGTCCCACTCTTGTTCATTAATATAAAACAGTATAGAATATAAACGTATCTGATCCTGCCACGTTCAGAATGGTGGCTCGCATGAAATTAAACGATAGTCAATTGCCTTCTTAGCATTTGCCCCTCAGGCTAATATCAGATAAATCCCAATCTATAAGCTACCTTGGGGATATTTGACCTGACAGAATTCATTCCTCCATATTATCGCGCCAAAGCTAGCGCCTGCGTAGTGCCGTCTTAAATAATTGAGAAGTAGCTTGTGAACGTGTTGTTCTTGATGCCATCCGAAGGTCATTCTTTATTTCAAACGAAATAGCTGGAGTCCAAGCGAGCCCAAATGAAATGTCATCTTTGCTCATAATTTTACTCGTAAGCAAAGCGGTGGACACTGTAGAATCATTCCTCCCAGGGACAAAAAGTTGGCCAGGACTGCCCTTTCCTGTAGGTTCAAAGTCGTTCATCAGATAATATTTATCGT